CTGGAGGCTGGAAGTCCAAGATCATGGTTCCAGCATGGTCATGTTCTGGTGAGAACTCTCTTGTTGGCTTGCAAATGGCTGCCTTCTCACAATTTTCTTACAGGGTCGAATGAGGGAAAGCTCTCCGGGATCTCTTCTTAGAAGAGCACTAATCCCATTATGAGGGTCCCACCCTTATGACCTCATCTAATCCTAATTACCTCTTTAAATACCTTTACTTGGGTGTTAGGGATCCAATGTATGAATTGGGAGAGGAGGATACAAACATTTAGTCTATTATAGCATGTGTGTATGTATATTTGTCTTCTACTATTATTACTTTATTATATTAAATTGATACTATCCATTACTGTAAGTATGCAATTTATTTCAATTCTGAAGAATTATCTTCTTCAGGAAAATTTAACATCAATTATTATTCCGATTGTTAAACACCAAGTATTATCCTAGTTGAACAAAGATAAAAACTGCATCCACAGTAAAGGACATGCTAGATTCTAATTCTAACAGGAGAAACATATATATTTTGGAAGCTACCAAAACATTATGTATAATAACTAGAGGATGACCGTGGAACATTTGGCATTTAAAGTGACTAACAAAATAATGAAAATAGCTATACTACTAGCATACAAAAAATTCATTCTTTCTCGAACACTATAATAGTTCAGTAACTATTTTCATTTTGTCTGTATTTCTTAAGTATTATTATCTTGCCTTTTCTTGTCTAATTATTCTATTTTTTGTAAGTTTCTTGGGCCCTAGGCTATTTTGTTTATCTTCTTTCCAAAACCCAGAACTCTTTCATACATATACTATGTTTTCAATAAAATTCAGTAACTGATTACTTTGTTTTCTAACTGAATCTCTTAAAACTGGGGTTTAGGACAGGAATTTAGTAGATAGTTGCGAAGTTTCCACACCATCCGCATTAAGTAAGACAGTACTGTCACTGGGGATAACTTTGTAACTAATTATTGCCTTTAGATTAAGGAAGAATGATAGTTATCAGGAAAGTAAAAATAAAAGTAAACACCCAGGTCTATCACCTCGTAGTTAGGAGTGCAGAAATACTGGTATTCCCTTTACTGGATGGGGAAGTGTGAACGTTCAAAACCAAGGAACTGAGGCCCTTACCTCTGTCCTTTTTCCCCTTCTTTCCTTCCTTTCTTTTTTTGAAAAAGTGTTATTACATACCTGTGCTGACACCAAGTACACAAAAATAAATGAGATACAGCTCCTGTACTTAAGAACCTGATGTTCCAGTGAGGAAGATAGATAATCAGGCAACCGGACTATGGTGGAACAGCTATCGTAATGGAGGTGGTCTGGAGGCACTTTGGAAATAAAGAGGATGGACTCTTAATTCAGGCATGAAGAGTCACAGGAAACTTCCTGTGAGGGAGATGATATCTAAGTTGAGCCCTGAACAACAAATAATTGAAGGTGTTGTGGCAGGGTTGGAAGTAAGCATTAGTGGGTAGCCAGACCAATAAGCCTATTAGGCTTTAGATATAAAGGTCAAGATCTTTAAAAATTTATGTTTTTGTTCACACAGTCTTTTACTTATAAGTGGTTTGAAATAGCCCCTTTGTAAAGTACAGCCGTTGAGGTGAAGAATTAACATCATCATTCTCTAGATAAGCATCCTAGACACACAGCCCATCATAAATTACCAGTGATCTAAATTCCATCTTCCCTAGCATGGCTCTTCATAATTCTGCTTTGTCATTGTCTCAAATTACTTGCTTATTCTTCACATATAAACACTGAGAAAGATTATATCAGTTGTAGAGCATAAGGCAACACACCCACAAAATGAAAGCTCTGAGGCATATCTCTTCAGTATGCACGGTTTGGTATAGAGCAGGCACCTATTCTGTTTTGGAATTGGACAGAGTCCCACTTGATTCTTGCTATATTTCTAATGTAACATTATAATACTCCACTATAAAAACAACAGGAAACTATATATAAAAATACATATATTTTACTATAAAAATACATATATTTTAAGTGTACATAAAGGAAATAGTAAAATTTGAATTTCTAAAACTTTTAGCTATCCTTACAAAGTATACCTTTTTCATTCTACTGATAATGAGTTAAAAATATTTCATATAATTACTAATATTATCCTTAATTGAAAGTAAAGGGATTAAAATAGCATACATCTTGGTTTTCAAAGAGCAAGTGGATTATTGAGTAGAATATGCTTTTAAAATTTGCTAACATGAAATTATAACTTTTAAAATATATTCTGCTTCATAGACATTGTTTGCAGAGAGGTCCATGTTATGTATTCAAAAAATCCCTTCCTCTTTTTATTTACTGATTCTGCTGAAAATTGTCTACCATGTTTCCAGAAAAGAGCACAAAAAATTTCTGATTGAGTTTTGTTTACAATGAATGAGGTGGGAGGTGACATGGACCAAAAGAGCTAAGGACACAGAAGAGCCAGGGCATGAACTACAAAGTTAGAAGATTCTAATTCAAGTCTCAGTTGTTCCTTTACTAATTCTCTTTCCTCCTCTAGACAATAGAAATAATAATTATGGCCTACTCAGATGTTTTAAAGTCTGAGTCCTCTGAAGGATATAAAACATCACAAATATATAATAATCTACTACAATTATTATTAGTGATGTAAAAATGGTTTTCAAAGAAAATGTTGACAGTGACTTTTATGAAATTCCCTTAGGAAATCTACTAGGTGAAGTGTAACACTGGAATGGAAAGGGTTAGAGTAATTAAAACTGTAGTCCAGTGAAAAAAAATCATAGGAAACCCTCCAGTGATCCTAGAAATTTATAAGGATGATACAGGATCCACTTGCAATGACTTAATTTTAACACATTATCAAAAGGGCTCTCTGTCCAATAAATGCCTTTGATACAGGGAGAAAAATGACGATTTAATATAGTTCTTTGCTATATTCTTCACCTTAACCAAAAGTATTTTCATTTGAAAATCACAAGTTAATTTTCTTTTGAGGAAAAAAAAAAACTTATATTAGTTGAATTATCCTTTGGATATTCTCAACTGTATCATAAGGTTAATTGCTATGAATAATACAGAAATAAACAAGAAGGCAAGTTATTATATCTGTAAGCCCTACACACATTTATAAGTCCTTATGAAACTCTATTTTTATCTTTAAAAGCCCCTTTATGAAAAATTCTTTCCATTTTTGTTTTACAGTCCTTAAGAACACAGAGTATATATAGGCTACTTTGATAATAGAAAAAAATGACTTAAAGAATTGTGTCAATCTGATCAAAAATGTAAAAAGACATCTGTGGTTCTATTCCTTTTAGGTATATACTCAACATGCTAAATTTTAGAAGGGGGCTGGAAGATGCATACCAGTTGCTAAAGAGCAGTTTGCAGGAACAGGGAATGGTGAATTTCACATTTTTCTCTTTGAATGTTAATGTTTTATTTGAATCTTTGAAACAAGTATTCATGTCTTGTGGAACACATTTATGTATTATGTGTTAAAAAAATACAGAGATGAGCCATCATAGGAGCCATTCATGCCTACCCACATCATCGGTGCTGCTTCCTGACAGCAACTGGCCTTGTGCAGTAGCTAAAAATGCTGTCTTCCAAATGCACATTAATCAGAATATAAACACAAAATACATGTTTCAAGAAGTATACATTGATAACTTAATTCAGCGATGTTTGGAATATATCACCTGTGTTTCAATAGAGGCTACGATAGGCATGCTTGGGCTCAAACTCCCTGAAATGGCACCGTCTAGGGGTGGTCACATTTGATGGACTAATGTGACCAGGCAGGGCAGGTGTGATTTATCTCACTGAGCTGTTCCACTGCACTAGAAATGATGCTCACCTTTTAATGCCTTTTTAAAAGCACTGTCTGACTTGTCTTGGAAAAACCCGAAGAAGAAAAAAACATTCAACTGTTTACTTGATAAGTTAAGGCCAGTGCTCTTTAGACAGTTGGCTGGTCCACCAACTGCTAATTACCTTACCAATGCTAAACCACAACAGAAGGCCTATCAGCAGATTTTATTTACAGCCCTTGAGAAAGAGTCCTCTTGCTGTTTTCACTTCATATAAAAGATAAGTTTGCAAAGGAAAACATTTGGCAGTACTTCAGATGTTCACTGTCTGGTGGTGTTGATAATGCAATTCTTTTTCTTGATTGTAGCAGCTTCTAAAATGCTATATCCTTTATGTAGGCCATCATGCCTCAACTGACTGTATTAACTAAACAGACATAATTCATGCAATCACCTGAACTGTTTTTAACCTTTTCTCTCACTATAAGTTTAGAATCTGGCTATGAACTGATTTTATGCTGAATTCTATTGTTGAAAGAAGTCATGCTCTACTTAGCTAACCTACAAAATGTCTGTTACTCAGATTAAAGGTCAGCTGACTTGAATTAAGAACATTGTTAATTATAGAAAATTCACTAATATTTATCATTATTTTAAAGGGGATGTCGTTATCATCTAGACAACTAATATGTAGATTTAAGTGTTTTCTTTTTTACTACCAGAGTCGAATTCATATAATCCAGAATAGCCTCCAAATAAAAATTCTGTTTGTGTAAGTGTGCTTATCTAAAATATCTTCCAAATAAAAATGTACCCAGGGAGATGAAGCACACAATTTTTTTCCTTTATAGTAGTGGGGAAAAATCAATGTGGCTTATATCTCTAAATTGTGTTCTTGAGCATGTGAACAGCATCCCAGAAATGATATGGGTTCTCAAGCCACTCAAAAGTCTATCAAAATTGCTCAAAGCAACAAGTAAAAAGTCACCTGTGGAAATACTTGTAAAATAAATATGCTAGCTATTGTTTGAGCCAACTCCTTTGGGTGACGCATTATCTTCCATAGTGCAGCTGAGCAGTGTGACCAGTATATGGTATAAAATTACACACTTTAGAAACAGGCTACACCGATTGCCTATTCACAAAAGAAACCAAGGACACAAATAACATAAAAATGCATTTACTCACTGTGTTAAAATTTGGAAAGAGTCCAACAGCAGAACTACTGTCCACTGGAAAAGACATAAATGGTTTGATATCCAGTGAAGGCTGCATCATCAGGGCAGGTGTGCGCACAAGAGCAGGAAGGGCAGTGGTGTGGCATGTGCTGCCTGTGAAGAACAAAGCAAAGAAAAAATTCAGTCTCTTGCTCACATCTATCTCCTTCCCCAACCTACGGTGCCAAAACAAGACTGCTGAGCTGCAACCTGCAAGCAAGACAGTTACTCTGGAAGCAAGTAAATAGCACAGGAGGAGGAAATACAGTTAAAAAGGGTCTTCTTGCTCATTGTCTAAGACAGTGATGCAAAATGCTTCCTTTACCGGCAAAGGCCAAGGCGGCTCAGCCTCTGCTGAGATACATAGTCACTGATCTGCTGGCAGGTGGGGCAGAATGAGAGATCATCCTTTTGCCTAATCATTATCTCTGACTAGGTAGGAGAAAGCAAGGAGAAGGCTTTCAAAGTCAGATGCCCTTTACTGTTCAGTTACTGGATGGCTAGTAGGCACGTTTTATGCAAATCATAGATAATTGTAGGGTTTTTACAAGGGAATATACAAGAATCAACCAATGAATGTATAAGTGGGTAGAACAACAAATTCATGTTTCTCTCTCTCTATCCCTTCGTCTCTCTCTCTCTCTTTTAAAAAATTACAAAAATAAACAAATATGCCCTTTATTTTGTGGGAAGTAGGAAGTTGAGACAGGTAATGAATCTTAAAGCGATTAGTATGCCCTTGATAGGAGCAGGGTACTAGGGAACAGAGGGGAGTTGGGACAGGAACTCATTTTTATATTCAACTTTTACTTCTAATAAGACATGTTAGTTTAACAACTATCCTTTTTAACAACTATTACAGCTGTCATCTCCAGATACCTGGCTTAACCCATGTGGAGGAGATTAAACGTGCTCCTCTCCAGTAGCAAACATTCTTCTTCAGCCTGTCGCCTCCCACATACTGCAGATAGGTAACTGCTGGTACAGGTGGAGCTCCGGGAGACAGGCTCTGGCCATGGCCTTTTTTTTTTTTTTTTAATATAACACTATTAAGATATGTTATTGAGATATAATTCACATACCAGATAATTCAACCCCTTAAAGTATAATTCAGTGGTTTTAAGCATATTCACAGAGTTGTGCAACCATCACCACAATTTTAGAACATTTCACATGCCTAAAAGAAATACCATACCCATTGGCAGTCATTCTGCATTTCCTCCCAATATCCCCAGTTCCTGGCAGCCACTGATCTACTTTCTGTCTCTATAGATTTAACTCTTCTGGGCATTTGATTTAAAAGACATCATACAATACGAAGTCTTCTGGGACTATCTTCTTTCACTTAGCATAATGTTTTCAAAGTTCGTCCACGTTGTTGCAAGTATAATTTCATTCCTTTTTAAAGTTGACTGGTATTCCATTGTAGATGTACCACTTTTTGCTTATTCATTCATCAGTTGATGGGCATTTGTGTTGCTTCCACTTTTTGGCTATTATTTAATTTATTTATTTTTAGAGAGAGGGGAAGGGAGGGAGAAAGAGAATCAATGTGTGAGAGATACATCAATCAGTTGCCTCTTGCATGCCCCCAACCGGGGACTTGGCCTGCAACCCAGGCATGTGCCCCGAATGGGAATCAAACCAGTGGCCTTTTGGTTCACAGGCTGGCACTCAGTCCACTGAGCCACACCAGCCAGGGCTCACTTTCTGGCTATTATTAATTATGCTACCATGAACACTTGTTTCTAAGTTGTTGTATGTACATATATTTTTAGTTTTCTTGGGTATGTATCTAAGAGTAGAATCAGTGATTGTTAGGTCATATGGTTTAACCTTTTGAGAACTTCCAGACTGTTTTCCAGAACAGCTGAAGTATTTTACATCACCATCTGCAGTATATGAGGGTACCACTTTCTCCCAGCATGTCTACACAGAACGACAAATAATCATATGCCTATTATCCCCTTCTGACTTCAGAAGAAATAAACAGTAAGGGAAAATATTCCCAACTATTAAAATTTCCACCAATGTTCTCATGTAGTGTCCCGGAATAATTAAAATTCCTATTTCAATGATTTTCGTTAAGGAAGTCTGCATCATATTTCAAGTCATCTCAGAACATTATTGGCAATGGTGTTTAATAGACTGTCATATCTCATTTACATTGATTCTAAAAACAGGAAAAAGGAGAAAGACATCTGAAGCACTTATCCGTAAAGGCGAGCCTTCAGGTCAGTCCCATCCATTAGAAAATACAGAGTAGAATCAGTCAAAAGAGAATCAGTCAAAACTATATATCAAACAGTAATGGTTGTTTTTCTGATGCCAAAGTAAGTACTTATGGCATTCATATAAGTATCCTATATTTAATTATACTTAGTCTTCTAATTAGGTAATATTACATTCATTGCTAACTTCAGAGCTTATAGATCCAAGGTGATGTATTATATCAATATGTCAAATGTTGCAGTGGCACTTATTAAAATATTTATGTTAAAAGTTTTGGTGTAAAATCTTAGCTAAGTTGAAAAACAGATTAATTATATTAGAGCAACATCCTTTTACAATTTACAATTAGTGTAATTGTGAAAAGTCTAAAGTATAAACATTTTACAGAATTATTCTATTTACAGCTGCCTCATGAACCAATGTATAATTATTTTGCCATGATGGGTCTCCTAAAGAAAAGAAAATTCTAAGTCCACAATGGTGGCTCTGATAACAACTATGTCATACATGGCCCTCGAGGGCCTGGCAAGAGTCACTCTGTACTAACAAACTAAAATCAGATAGAGTGAAACCTGGAACCTGACAAACAGATTGCTCCATCAACGAAGCTTGGAATGCACAGTGATCCCCCTTTCCCAACTGAATCTCTATGCTAATAAAGACAAGGCTTGAGAGCTACTAAACTGCCACCATTCATTAGCATAAAAAACTTAGCAGCTGTTTACCATTTCATTAGCATTTTAATGACAGACAATTTGCCATGTTAAACACAGATTGTTTTAAAGTACTTCTGAATAAATATAAACTATGCTTTCATCAATTCCCTCACCTCAACTTTGCTGTTTTCACTTTTAAAACCCGCTCTTTAATATTGCCTCACCAAGGCTGATTGCTTCAAAGGGAACTTTTGCAAATGGTGAGTAAATGGGGATAAAGTGCATGTCTTTTTCTTTTTTGCACATGTTAGTTCATGCTTTGATCCCTCTGTCACCTTATTCCAGATTTTGCTGCTGCAGCTACTGCTGGGAAGCACTTCTTTTCTCCTCATGATACTCCAAAGTCACTGGGAAATATAAGCAGAAATTTGGCCAGAATGCATTGCACCCTGCAAGAAAATGTTTAATTTTTCTAAAACTCAAGGACTCACTGAGAGAAAAATAAGTTAAAAATATAATGAGCAGGTATGTCAACATAAAGGGTGGTATAATGTATCCTCTACATTGTTATTCTCATGGTACAGGATCAATGTTTGTTGTTCAAATCATTTGGTAATACTATATAAGACACCTCCTTTATGTAGTTTTGTATATAAGCTATCATCTTATATATCATACTGAATCAAGTCATAATAGGGCTTCACCTTATTTGATAATAAATAAGGTTTGTTTTTTTTTTATTGTATTTATTTTTAGAGAGAAGGGAAGGGAGGGAGAATGGCAGAGGGAAACGTCAATGTGTGGTTTCCTCTCAAGGGCCTCCTACTGGGGACCTGGCCCACAACCCAGGCATATGCTCTGACTGGGAATTGAAACAGCAACCTTTTGTTTTGCAGGCCAGCACACAAGCCACTGACCCATACCAGCCAGGGCAATAATAAGGGTTTTTTATATTTTTTATATTTATATTTGATGTATATATGTTTATCAAATTCTCTGTATGAAAATTATATATAACACACAAGCATGCATACCCCAAGATCTAACAGTCAGTACTCTGTCTGTGGAAATTACACATATCCATATGATCTCTCGTAAGAATACAATTAACCTTTTCCCATAAATTTTATTTTGATGGTAAAATCCAAATTGTAGTCATCTATAGCTATGAATCCAATAATAAGTGAAAGACAACTCATCACTATGATCATAAAGAAAACTATTATTTCAGCCAACTGCCTCTGTAACATTATAGGTGCCTTATTATGTCAATGGATTATGCCATAATCCATCACAATAAAACCTCGTTTGAGGACAAAATGACACTTGAAATTATTGCTTTAGTCTTTGACCTTTAGAAATATAATCTTAAAGGCCTACTTAGGTCATAGCTTTGATGATTCCTAATGGCTCTTCTTTATGTGCCACAACACAAACAAAAAACACACCTCATCCTAGGAAGATGAGTATGCCAAAAATCACAGAAAGTCTGCTTGGAACAACACTTATAGAATGAGCTCAAATATGTATACTTTCTATATTCTGCAGAAGTAGTTTCTTCTTATACCATTATTATATATGTCTGCTTTAGTGAGTACTAAAATAAAAAATCTTAACATACTATAAAAATCTATTAGAGACAATGTCTATTATAGAACTCTCTACATTGCTTTAAAGAAATTGAGTGACATTTCAGATTTTTTACCAAATTCAGTTCTCTTGTATTATTGCTTTCCCAACTTTGTTGCCCCTTATACCGAGGAACAGGCCCTCTTGCCAGGGCCATCATCAACCATCTCCTTCACCCCTTCTCTTATTTCTTTTCCAGTCTTTTATCAGCCTGTCATGCAAGGAAAGCAAATTCACCAAGAGACCATCAAGCATGGCCAGGAGGAGGGGGGCTATGTGAATAGGGGATAGACGTGATAAAGATTTTTGCTTCTGAAAAGGCTATACAATAATAATAATAATTTTATAGTATATACTACAGGCCAGCACTACCCTGAGCATATTATATATGTGTGCATAGGTACTGACCTAAATATATTACATAACTGTATATGTGCATACACATATAAGTGTATATACATTGGCGTGAATATCCATATATACTTATTATATAGAGAGTATTATTTATTATTATTAATTAATTATTATTATATACATTTGTGTGTATGTATCCATAATATACTCATTATATATTATGAGTATACTCATTATACTTAACCCATTTTACTCACAATAACCCATTTTATAGATGAAAAATTGAAGCACAAAGTGGTTAAGCCCAACTTTATTCGGCTTGTATGTGGAAGAGCCAAGATTCAAAATCAGGCAATTTGATTACTGAATTCTGCTCTTTTTGTTCAATTAAAAAAATTTTTTTATCCTCACCCAAGGACATTTTTTTATTGCCTTTAGAGGGGAAGGGAGAGAAAGAGAGAGAAACATTGATGTGAAAGAGAAACATCGACTGATCGCTATCTGACACATGCCCTGATCAGGGATTGAACCCACAACCTGGGTATGGGCCTTGACTGGGAATCGAATCTCCCACCATTTGGTTTATGGGACCACACTCCAACAACTAAGCCACACTGGCCAGGGCTGGATTCTATTCTTGACTACTATGCTATGGTCACCAAATTGCACACCTGAAAACACTTCAGTTATAGAGACACATTCTCCAGCTGTAGATAGGAACATTTTATCATTAAACTAAGGGAATTAAAATGCATCTCTTTTGCAGCTGGGAATTAGCTGAAATTTTTGTCTGATGTTCCATAGTATCTGATACTAAAATAACTAAAAGATAGAAAAATTTTAATGCTCTATAAGATATGTTTCTAGAACATATTTATCTAAAAATAATATCCCTCAAACAATAGTTTTATTTAATTCAGCACAGTGCTGACAGGCACAGGGATTACAAATTAAGTCAGACAGAATTTACTCTACTTACTAAGAGAAGATAATAATAACAACTACTACTATTTAATGAGGTTCTACTCTATGCCAGGTGCTGTGCTAAGTGATTTGTGCTCCTTATTTTATTCAATTATAATACAACTATATGAGGTTTGTATTATTGGCCCCATTTTATAGATGAGGAAGGTGAGGCATTAGAGAGATTAAGATCACACAGTATATTGAGATCACACTCGTGATCATCTACTGTAAATCGATATCATTTCATAAAGTTGGTTATATTTGTAAAGTTATTATGTGAAAAGGATTCTGTCATCGAATACATACAGAAAATGCTGGCTTCAGCAAAGTTTAAAATATTTTTCTGCAAGACATCTTTGAGATTTTAATACTCTAAACGGACACTGTGGATGTCTAGGCAGATATAGTTCCTAACCTCAATTTCTTGCCCACAAAACAATCCTTTTTATTTCCAAAGAGCTTCTGGGACAACTTGACGCTATGGCACATCCTTCAGGCAACACTGTCCTGCACATGGTAAAAGAACCGATTCAGGAGAAAGCTGATGACTTCCAGATTTACCACTTTCTTGTTGTATGACCTAGGACAAGTGATTTTACTTCTCTATACCTCCATTTTCTTTTCTAAAAATTGGAGCACATAAGAGTATCTACATCATAGAACTGGTAGGAGAACGAGTTGTGATTTTTCTATGAAAGTGCTTAACCTCATGTCTGACACAGCAAGTGTTCAATAAGCTTCAGTTACTGTAGTTAGGAAGTATTCCTACTCCTCTTGCACTATGCTATATCCCCAGAGAGCATAAATAGTTAAATCCATTAATACTTAAAAAAGGCAGGATATGTCAGGGTCTTACATTATTAACAAAATGTTAAGGAAGTTCAAGAGAGAAAGGAATTACATCTGGTTAGGAGTTGGGTTCCTAAATGTTTTCATAGATGAGCTACCTCTTAAGTGTTGAGGAATGGTTAGTATTTTGAGAGGTGGACATGGGAAAAATGATTGAGGAACCTGCATAAACAAAAGGCATAGAGAAATGGAATGTATTAAAGTTAAAAACTTTTTAAAGGCACTCAAGGTTTTCTTGGTATTTCTGGGTTAGAAGGTAAAACAATTAAGAGAAAAGTAGAACATCTTTGTTACCTTGGAGTAAACAAAAATTTCCTTAATAGAAAACAAAGGGTGCTAATAACAAATTAGTAAACATTATTATTAAAAATAAGAATTAAGAATAAAATACTATCAAGGGAATGGAAAGGCCATCCACAGAGTGGAAGATAATACTCATTATGTATATACAAATGACTTGGATCTAGAATAAAGAACTCCAAATCAATAAGAAAAGGGTCACATAATAGGAAAATTGGGCAATAAACTTGAGTGGATATTTCATAAAAATAGATAACAAAATGGACTGTAAACATAAAAACGTGTTTAATTTCATTAGTCATTATGAATATGCACATTAAAACTACAATGAGATATCATTACATACCACAAGAATGACTAAAGTGAAGAATGACGGATTATCAAATGTTGACAAGAACTCTTAAATACAAATTGTTACAACTTAAAAAACTATTTAGCAATATCTACTAAAATAGCATATATACATAACCTATGACTTAGCAATTTCACTTCTCATACCTAATTTCACATACTTAACATAAATGATATGTATTAGAATATTAATAGCAATACTATTTATAATAACCTCACACTGGAAATAAGACAATTAACCCATAACAGTAGAAAAAAATATTTTTGTTATCTTCACCCAATAAAACATTCACATGATGGAATACAGCAATGATAAAAATGAGATACAGGGTGTGGCAAACATAGGTTTGCAATTGTTTGTATGAAAAAATACAATAATTAATAAATAATAATACAAGAATAAACTGTGTTTTGTGTACTCACAACTGTAAGCCTACTTTTGCCACACCCTGTATAAGTACATGCAATGACAAATACACCTTGCAAATGTAATGTTAGGAAAAAGAACTAAAATAAAGGAGCATATCAACATTCTGTGTGATATCTTTTATAGAAAGTAGAAAATCAGGCAAAAATGAATCTATGCTCTAAGGATTGTGGTTGTCCTTGCAGGAAGGGTGAGATGGGGTGGGGGCGGAGTGTCTGGAAGGGAGCATTCGAGGGGCTTCTACGGTGCTGGAAATGTTCTTGTACTGGACCTTAGTGCCCCCTGCACAGGAATGTATGTTTGTGTATATTCATCCAACTATACACTTAGGATACACTTTTGTGTATGCCACGCCCTAATAGAAATTTCTAAAAAGTAATGTATTCAGTGCTATTAATTTTAGTAAACAATTTTGACAAACACAGCAAAATTTCCCAATAAGAACACCTTCAAACACTGTCAAGTTTGTACATTTTTAGGATGAATATGTTTTCTGAGTTCTTTTTTCACTGCCAGCTTGACTTTACTCAAAATGATTTGTGAGAAAATAAAAGTTCTCTTTAATGCTGATGCTTCCTTGCTGAATTTCAGAAGTGGATAGAGGAGGCTGATATAGAATTCAGTGATGCCAAAGAGAAAAATGTGTATC